CGGGGGCCGCGCTCAGCAGCTCCTGCAGGTACTTGATGTAGCGGATGGCGGCGCGCAGCGTCTCCACCTTGCTGAGCCGCTTCTCGGCCAGCGCGCCCGGGAGGTGACCGCGGAGGCGCGCGTAGCCCTCGTTGACGCACTTGACCCGCTGCCGCTCGCGCTCGTTGCGCTTCTGGATGAAGGCGGGCTCGAAGGGGTAGTCGTACACCCCGAAGGCACCGGCGAAGGGCACGTAGGGGAACACGCCCGCGTAGGCATCGTAGTACTGCGGCTCGGCCGGGCCCGGGTACAGCAGCAGGGGCACGTTGCCCAGGGGCTCGGCGGGGGGCAAGGGCGCCCGGCGCGGAGCGGGCACGACGCCCAGCTGCATGCAGCTGGGGGGCGCCAGGGGCCGCCGGTCCACCAGGGCCCGGCAGAAGTTATTGTTCATGGTGCCGCGTGGAGCTGCACCCAGAGGCAGACCCTCCCCGAATCGGCGCCGCCTGGGCTCTGCGCGGTCCCAACCACAGGGATGAGTCACATCGCCAGCAGCGGCCCTGGGGTACCAGGATGGGTTAGGGCTCCTCTTCGCCCTCTGGGGTGGCCTCCGAGATCTCCCTGACAGAAGTCATTGCTGTGGCCTTAGTGTGGCTCCTGGCAGAGGCTCAGCGGTTCCCTCTCCGATCCAGCCGTGGCGCCGCAGAACTCCGGGGACCCCTGCCTTCTTCCGTGGCGCCCATGGGCAGGGCAGCAGGCCTCGGCACCCCGGCTCCTCCTGAGCCCAGCATGGGCACCTCCCACGGGCACTAACCCTGGGACTTCATACTTGGGGCCACGGGTGCCCGGTTCTTGTTCCTCACGGCCTTGGGGATCCCCCCGCCGCCCGGGGCCTCACAACGGCGGCTGCTGTGAGAAGTGTGCCCGCTCAGCTCAGGGAAATGTTTCTAAAGAAGAGGAGAGTGAACGTATCAATTAGGAATTGTATTATGGGCTCTTCTGTGTCACCCCCACCCCCACCCTCCAGGGGGATCATAAGCATCCCGAGCCGAGGCAGTGTGGCTGCTGAGGAGGAGGAGGATAGGGGCAGAGCTGGGTTCAAACCTGTGTTCATCCTTTCATGGTTGGGGGGCCTCTCTGCGTCCTGGTTTCCACATATGGAGATAATTCAACATCCCTCACAGGAGATTAATAATAATATGTGAGAATCAAATGAGAAAAAATATGCCAAAAAACACCTCCTGGGCCTGGCTTATAAAAAGCGCCCAATGACCCTATGATTTAACAATTGCACTACTAGCTATTTACCTAAATGACACAAAAATACGATTTCAAAGGGATTCATGCACCCCGATGTTTATAGCAGCATTCTCTACAGTAGCCAAATTATGGAAAGTGTCATTGATAGATGAATGGATTAAGAAGACATGATGTGTGTATATATATACACACACACACACACACACACATATATAATGGAGTATTACTCAGCCATAAAAAAGAATGAAGTCTTGCCATTTGCAACAACACAGATGGAGCTAGAGAATATAACGCTAAGCAAATTAAGTCAGAGAAAGACAAATACCATATGATTTCACTCATGTAGAATTTAAGAAACAAAACAAATGAGCAAAGGGGAAAAAAGAGAGAGAGAGGCAAACCAAGAAAGAGACTCTTAACTACAGAGAACGAACTGTTGGTTACCAGCGGGAAGGGGGTGGGGCGATGGGGGAAACAGGTGATGGGGATCAAGGAGAGCACTTGTGATGAGCACCTTGCATTGTATGGAAGTGTCGAATTACTATATTGTACACCTGCAACTAGCATTACACTGTATGTTAACTAACTGGAATTTAAATTAAAAAAAGGGGGGACCTGATGACGTCATTTCCTTTGAGAGTGGGGATCAGGTCTTGGGAGGGATACCTTCCAGGGCCTTCCATCTAAGGGCTCAAAGACTGCTTATTGAACTAGCACAGTGGCCACCACAAGTCCACCAAGGGGGGTAACTCTTTCCTGAAGGAAGTGAATCCGATTCCGAGAGACTTGGGTGTTGCTGGGACTTTCACAGCCCTCTGCCCAGCGGAGCGGCAACACCAAAGCCTTCTGTGCCCTGTGCCCGTGGATCCAGGCTGCACCCTCCCACCCCATCCTGGGCTTCTCCTTGTGGCACTTAACGGAAGTGTCTATTCTCTCACCTCTGTGTGCCCAGAGCCCGGCCAGCTCCTGGCCTGTAGCAGACGCAGCACAAATGCTCGTTGAATAACCGGCCGGAGGGCTAGGCAGCAAGTTGGGCTTGTCAGTTTCGGGCTCGGTTGCACTCAGCCTTTCCCAGGCTCTAGGAAGCTGCTACCTCAGAAATAAGTGGCCCGCATCGAATTTACAGCCCTCATCCCATGTGGTTAGCGGATTCAGCCTGAGCGTCATTTCCTCCAGGAATTCTCTCAGGCCCTGTTCTCCCTACTTGTGTGTGTCCCCAGTGTCCTACAAATGCCGTCTTAGCCCCGTCACACTACTCTATCATCGTCCTCCTCATGGAAGATGGAGTGACTGAGCGAGCTGCACCCACACGGGGAGAGATGGGGCAGCAGGAGGTCTTGGACCAGGCCTTTCCATGAGACAGAAAGGGGCTAGCTCTCTCCCTGACAGGGGGAGGTTGGTGACTCAGATTCCTGGGGGAGTCTCCTTCTGCACTTTCTCATCTTAGTCCTTAATTGGGTCCCAACTCTGTCGCCAGCTAGCTCTGCCCTTGCTGAATGAAAACTGGGAACAATGAACAGCGATTCTAAGCGTCATGGAGACTTGCATCTGCTCTCAAGAGTGGAAGCAAATGCGCCAGACATCAGGACAAATTCACATATCCCTCCCCTGCTCAACAGCATTTCAGGGCTCCCTGCTGCCTTCGAGGGAAGGTTCTAGAAAATCTCTTTCCAACAGTCTCTCAGCTCCATCAGGACCAGTCTCCTCCTGTCACTCTCTGCTCATTCCTGACCTCTCTCCTTGGCTTCTACTGACAGGCCTTGGGACCCTTTTCATAGCTTTCTTGATTTTCCCCATTCCTGCCAACCTTTGAGGGAGCTCCCGCCCATGCTGACTGCCTGAGCTCAGCAGCTCCCAACATGGACTCTCAGTTTGTGCCTTCTGAGTCTTCAGCCAGACTGTAAGCCACCAGAGGGCAGGGGCTTGACCCTTCATTCTTAGCTAATGCTCTCTGCCCCTTGCCCAGTGTTGGGTACATAATACTGCTGAAAATTATTTGCTAGCAGTGCCCTGTTTGGGTAAAAACATGAGATCCAGACTGTACCCTCCCACGTGACCCCTGTCTATTCAAATTTGATTTAATTATTCAAATTTAATTTGATAGAGGTCAGAAATTTATTTATATCTAGTGACAATTTTACAAATATAGCTTAATATCTATTTGTGTTGACTCAATATTCAATACTTACTTACGTTCCAGACATACTGTTCCCATTTTTTTCATAAAACCATTCAGACAAGTGACAAACAAGAAACCTCACAGCCTTACGGCCCCTGAGGCACTTCTCTCTACTGTCAGGAAAGGCTCATAACCTGGCCGGGAGCCCAGGTGAGGACACACCCGCCACTGCATTGTGTTCTTCTTCTTCTGCCATCGAACCCCCCACCCCAGACCAGAAGCCGAGGACACAGTGTGGTAGGTTATCCCCGAGAGGCAGGAGAACCATTCACTCAGCACTTATTTACTGGGGCCCTTGTGTACACGAGGGGTCGCTCTGGGCGCTGGGATAGAGCGGTGAACAAAACACTGTAGTGAAATAACAGTAATGATAATTCTAGCTGTTATTTATTATTTGTGATGTGCGAGGCACCGTGTTATGTGCTTTCCATGGACCGTCCCATTTAACTCCTACACCATTCTCACGAGGTCAGTGCTAAGATCACCCAGTTTTAAAGGTGAGGAACCTGAGGCTCATAAAGGTTAAGGTACTGGTCCAAGTTTCCACAGTTGGTAATTAAACTAACAAATCTAAATGGCCATACCCTTCTTCACCCCTTCTCCCAGGATGTCTCCCCGCGGCTTCACATTTGAACCAAAAGATCAGAGGAGCTTGTTTTGACCTAACACAAGTATCTTATTAAATTATGATTCCTGTTGGAGGGGATGTCCCCCTGCAGATCCGAGTAATCGTGCTGTGATTGAGCATCTGCTCTGGTGACAGAGGTTCCGCAGGTCACCTTGGTCAACCTTGGGAAGGGAGCGCCCCCTTGAGGATATTCTCAGGAGGGTGGCCGTGGAGCTCTGCTGGTGGAAAGGCAGGTAACTGGGATGTAATCAGACTGAGTCAAGCACCAGGAGCTGTACCCCAGGGAACCTGATAAAGAGCCCCCTTGCCTGAGCTCAGACACCCTGAATAGTGGGATGGTCCACACTCAATGATCTGCAGCCTGGTCAGGATCTGATCAGCAGCCAAGAACTGAAAACCCTTCCGCTCAGGCCGCCGGACTGGGCAGAACCATTTGCTAACAGTGCCACCGTGTGGCGAAGACAAGCAATGGCAGTAGCTGATCGATGAAATTCCAGGTCAGGATCTCATGACTGTGGAAGTTTTAACCAACTTCCCATTATAACTCCCTTTGGGAACTGTGTTTCCAGATCTTTTGGAAATCTAGGGGGACAGGAAGACGCTCCCCAGTGAAAAGTCACTCAGTTTTCTGTTAACATGCACGAATTCTCTTCCTGAGTTTGTGGATCAATTCGCATCCCTTAAACTTTCATTATATACAGATACATAAAGTATGTATAATCAAGCATATTTTGTGATTTGTTTTGAACAGAAAATAGCACATTGTGTTAGTATTAGGCAACTCACTAGAGAGAAGTGTGGTTCAGAAGTCAGTGTAGGAACTCCCCCCACCCCCACCCCCTCATCTCCCCCACCACGCCCCCCATTCCCGCACACCTTAGCAGTGGTGGTGACTATTGACTGGGTCAAGTTCAACCAACCCATAGGTTGCTTTAAGTAGCCACAAAATAGCACCCATGGGCAACACTGTCCATGTTTCAAAGGGGCCCTGGCTCCTCTCTGGGACTGAGGGCATTCCTTGCCTGTGGCATTCCCCCGCCTCCACAGTTCTGCCCCACTCCAGTTTAATTTCACCCTGGCATGGCAGAGCAGATGTGCTTGGTGAGAGGCCACCTGATATTCTTCCATGAAGCTCATTTCATGACGCAAGACACTGAGCTTCCCCTTTTAGGACCTCGATATGTTCACACCATACAGCTGCTTTGTTAAAGGCCGACTGTCATCAAGTTATTATACAAAGGACTCCATAACCCCCAATCCAACTTGTAACAGAGAGAGTCAGCTGCCAGAGGGGGTGTCCTGGGCTTCCTCCCCAAAGTCTTGCTCTTCCTAATTGTGCAGCATGTAGCATTAGCCCCACCAGTCTTAGCTACTTGTCACAACCCCCCGGGATGGCACATTATTATAACTCCTTGCTGATGGTGTCGTGAGCACTGCCTGCCGACCCCTGTCCCAGCCCTGCCCCAAGTGTCCAGTGGCTACTCAGCTCCATCTCCCCACTTTGCCTCCCGCTGTACTCTTGGTGGCCCACGGGCAGCCAGCGGGCGCTTTCCCCAGAGCTCCTCCTGACACCACCTCCCGACCAGGTTGTCAACTGGAAGCGAAAGAATGCCTGTCTTATACTTCTAAGACAATAGTATGTGCTCAATAAATGTTTGTTGATTGACACTGGGAATCCCTGGGGAGGGCTGAACCATCATTTATCAAACAAAGGGAGATGTGAACTTCCAAAAGGCTGGACCACTTAAGGAGCAGGTAACCTACTTTTCTACCTTTGTAGCTTCTCTCACTGTCTTCACTGGGACTGGAGCCAGAGGGGGGAGTCTGAGGTCAGAAACTGGCTGGACATGGAACGCATGGCTTCAGCAGTGGGTTTGGGG